AGAAAAGTTAACAAAATTTTTAAAAAACAAAAAGCATCATATTTTATTCATGTGTAAATTAGTATTTCATTCTTAACTGTTCTGTGTTATTAGCATATCCATTTTCCCCTAAATGTTAGCAAGATGTTGATGTAATGACAAAACCATGTCCTATTTTATCCCCAAACAATTCCAAAATTCAGTGAAACAAAGTCCAAAGCTTCAGTTATCAAAAAAAAAAAAAAAAAAAAAAGGAGTATGAGTTTGGCTGCTTAATACATCACTTCTTGAATCAGTCTTCTTAATTAAAAATCTTTATTTCTGTTGCTTGATTGAAAAGTATGTGTGGAGGGGTCGTTTGTGGTTTCTTTTTTTTTTCCCCCCCTCTGATAGTAAGAAACTGCCTAATAATCCACAGTACACAGATTCACAGAAACAGCGTGGCTGAGGTTGGAAGGGACCTCCAGAGATCATCTAGTCCAAACCCCCTACTCAAGCCATGAAAATACTTTTGCAAATCTTTCCATTACAGGTGATTGTCATTGCTTGTGGGCATGTTAAAAAGTGGGAACCGGATATGTTTTAGTTTCAGTAAAACTAAACTCCAAGCTTTTCCTTTAATGCTACTGGTGGTAGTATGAAGAGCTTACTGTGAGCTATCTCTGAGCTTGGGAAGAAACTGCAAAATCTTGGTGTTATTCTGAATGTTTCTGCAAGTATAATAATATATCCAAGTCATGCTTGCAAGTGTTGTTTAATTCTTATAAGAAAAAAATTCTTTAGGCTGATTAGTACAATTAATCTCATGAGGTAGTGCTTTTTGTTTTGATGTGAATAAACTAACAGTATCATTTTTTTGGCAAAAACAGCACACTTTCAGAACCTGAGACTAGTACGTTTTTGGAGGGACATCCCTTCTGGAATGGCCAACATGGGAGTTGTGTTTCGAGACTTCAGAGCCCAAGTGCTATAACATTAGTCTTGAACACAAAATAGATTTTAATGCTTGCACTGACAAGAACAGAAAAAGATAATCATACAAATGTCAGGTTATAAGTCCTTCCTTATTACTACTAATGCAACTGCTCTGTATGGCAGTTTGTATCTCACTCTCTACATTTGTTAATATTCTGTAAATAGTATTTTGATTAATGAAAGATTTTTTTTAGCTTGGGACATTTGTGGAGGTAGCAGAATTCACTGTTCCTAGCAGTGGGGTTGAGTCTCCTGCTTTCTAGCAGTGTCGCCTTTGGGGTTCTCCATGTCAACGGAGGTGCTGTGGGATAGGAGGGAAAGCTTTGGAGGCAATTTGAGAGTTTGTCAGTGCAAGGTTATCTGGCTCAGCCTAGGAAATCATACTTGGTGCTCGAAAGGTTGGGCTCATCCTTTGCTGTTCAGTAGCTGAATAATTGTCTCTTGTCATGCTCAGCATAGTACTAATGCCATGTTTTAATGAAGCCACTTTTATCATCACAGGCAGCCAGCATGGCCTGGATACTGGTTTGACAGCATTTCTCCGAAAATGCTGGGATCTGTTCTGTGAGGTGTAGGATGTGCAGCATCTCGCCTTCAAAGATTACTGCAGATGCTGAGCAGTCTTGCCTCACACCTTATTGTGAGGACAGTTTTTTATCTATTTATCCTATCCAAATATATTTATCTTAACATCTGCAAAATAATTTTGTTACTGTTTGGGGTTGTCACCACCTTGTTTTGAGCTCTCATGTGATCTGTCTGTGAAGCTCATTCCCTTCAAATACAAAGCAACCGGGATGGGCTGCCAGTGCTAGGAGGTAACATCTTCCTCAGCTTCACCCAGGCCTCTGCAGCTTATTGGAAAACTGTACAGTGTGGGCAGCTGCGGGCTCAGCCCAATCCAAATGTCGCTTCCTTCTTTCATGCACACTCAGCTGCTGATACTGATCTAATTGCAATTGATATGACCATTTAAGTGCATGAGACAGTGTTAGGGGTTACTTTAGCCCTACACTGTGTATTTTATAGCAGTAGGAGCTAGCATGTCCTTCTCATCCCCACAGTAAAAAAAAAATGATTAATGCCTACTTTGCAACCTTGGCCTGCAATTCAAAGGAGCAATATAGCTGTGCATACATATGTCTGTTTCTGTTCACACTTAAAAAAAAAAAAAATAATCCATCTTCTTCCTCTCCCTCCTCAAAAGACTCAAGACTTAAAAACATCTATCAGTTGGGCAGCTGTTTTATACTAACTAGCTTCACATTGCTTGAAAATCAAGATCTGGTCTTAGTCCAGGGTGTTTTCTTTCTGGAAGTTGCTAGTTGTTTTATATGGTTCAAATGGAGACATCTGAAAACTTGTTCATCACTTAAGTAATTTGAATGCACTTGATTTCATCTTTTGCAGAATAGGGCTGTCCTTTGCATCGTACTTTAAGACCTCTCTTTGATCTGAAATATTGCTGTTCAGTTGAAAGTACTTTGTAGTACCTATGGGGAAAGTCATCGATGAGCAAGCTGAATTGTGTCGATGCTGAAATAGTCTCTCAGAAAATTTCTTTGGAACCTGCATGAGCATTTTGTCCATGTGAACCCTGCAACAGGAAGTGTCTCAGCAGCTGTTCCTCACCTGCAACGGGCCATCGCAGCAGAACATAGTTGGTCTAGTAAGCTGATATATTCAGTTATGTAATAGAGCAATGAGACATCCTTTTTTTGTGTGTGTGTGTCATCTAGAAGCTCATGCTAATGTAGTTGTTGACTGTGCAGAGTTTTGGTTTAGTTGGAAACTTGTTTGATCAACAGTCAGGATAGTGTCATGATGTGTAAGCAGTTTGCTGAAAGATAAGCATTTCAGTAGTTGGTTCTCAGCAAAAGCTGAGCAAAAAGAGATGATTTGCTTGTTGCGCGTCCAGAACTTTCAGTGTTCTGGCTCTCCTGCCCTCTGGCAGTCAGCTGCTATGTCTCCCTGGTTACATTCAATAGTGGTATATTTACACCTTCTAACACAAGGACTGCTGCGTGAGCTCCTTTTTTTTCTTTTTCTGTTTTCAAGGTGTTATTTGTAGAAGAGAAGCAGACCAGAGTAAGTTTTCAAAACATGCTCCAATTAAGTCAAGTTGTCTTTGCAGCAGCCTCCGATCAGAGCGACCCTTGGACTCTGCAGCCCATGCTCTGCTCTGAAGTCATTTCTTTACAGCTTCAGCCCATTGAAGCTTAGGAGTTGTAGTGATGAAACTAATAAATGAAACTTAATTTTGGTTTTAAACTCTTAACTAACCATTGGTTTTGAATGTAGGTCCTTGCTTGTAAGCACTTTGTAATTTAATATCAGTTTTGTTTTCTGTATTGATTATCAGAGATTTGAAGCCAAGCAGTCATTTAACTTCCAAGGAGGAGACATCTGCGCAGACTGAAAAGAAAAATCAAGCTAAATGTATTTAATTATGAATGACTTTCCTACCAGACAGAGCTTTCCATAAGACTTAGAAACTGTTTTACATAGCTATCATTAATAAATAGCTCACTAAATTTATTTTGGGGGACATTTAGAGATAGTATGGAATTAGAATGACTTCTTTGAAATATAAGCTAATATTATTGGATTTTTTTCAAGGGAAGGTACTGAGCAATTCAGAAACTGATAGATACTTGTTCTAGAGAGAATTAGAATATTTGCTCTTGGTCATCTTGGGACTGACTGTTGGAGGAAGGAAAGGTCTTCTATTTCATTTTCCGCTACTCTATAATTACTTGTAATTTTGCTTTTAATTTGCTATCCTACTTGATACTTTGTCTGTGGAACAGGAAGCAAAATATCTTTTGGGGTTATTTTCCTCTCTAATGTCAAGACTCTGTTATCGAGGCTAATGAAAGTCTAGGACACCAGAAGTAGGGAGGAAAACAAACAAAAAGCCACAAGTGATAAGGGTAGTTAGGAGCACATTGCAGGCAGTTGAGAAAGCCTCTGCAGAAGTTAATCCAGGTCTTGACATGAGGTGCTTGATGTCTTAATGTCAGTAGTATGCTCAAAAACATACTTGAGTTGAGACCATCTCACAACAATTTGTAAAGTTGATTTTTATAATACTACATTTTAGGCTACGCTTTGCAAGTGCCCCAATTAAAAAAAAAAAAAAAAAAGCCATTTTTCTGAAGAAGTCCTCCTTGTTTAAAAGCAGTAATTCAATGAAGCATTCTGTTATTGAAATTCTGGTTATTAAAAAGAACAATTTAATGTAAACTATTATCTTGTTTGTTTTTCCAATTTTTCTGTTACTTATAATTATTTCTACAGAACTGATCAGTAAATGACTAAAACCCCTATAAACAGAAGTTAGAAAAGATGACTACATTACATTGTGTTTCTGATGTTTTACATGCATGTGCATTCACATTTTATTTTGAAAAGTGAACAAAGATTCAAAATGCGAATACTTTGTGGCCTCAGTCTTCTCCAACAAAAGAATTCTGATTCCGTAGGAGTTTCTTTACAAAGAGGCTTTCTGTCTTTCTGTCTGTCTTTCTGTCTGTCTTTCAAATAGAAAAACTCGAAAACAAAATACTAAGCAAAGATGCTGTGGCTTTACACTTGTACACTGCTTTGTTATCTTTCTCAGTTACTGATCTCCTGAGTAATTTCTTGGAAATAGGAACAAAGCTCATGGTTGTTTAATTTAAACTGATGTGTTTCTTACTTAATTAGTATTCAGGACTATAAAAGGTGTGAGATTCGTTGTTTGTTGTTGTTTTCTTCTTGGTTGTTTTCCTAGAGGACAGGTCTTTGAAAGTGATCTCTAATCTTTCAGAAAAGGATCTATAACTGCTACGAAAGTCTTGTTCCAAATTCACAGACTTAACCACTGTTTGATCTATATCAAAGCCTAAATTCTGGTATGGTGAGGATTAGAGTATTAAAAAGGGTGAAGTAATATGATTTCTCACTGTTTTAGGGATATATTCCTGTATCTCACGTGCTTTTAGCTTTGCAGAAGAAAAATAATGTCTTCAGTTTTATTTATTGTTTTTTTTTTTCTTTTAGAAAATGGAATAATCAAATCAGACAAGGTATTTGAAGTAATGTTGGCTACAGACCGATGCCACTATGCAAAGTACAACCCTTATATGGATTCTCCTCAGTCTATAGGTAAGGCCATGTTGTAAAAATGGTTGTTTGCTCTAATTTGTGTACGAGTGACTTTGTCATCTGGATGTTAAGAATGTGTGGTTTAATTTTTAAATTTTGGGAGCATGTTTAATTTTTTCTTCAGTTTATTGAATGTCGCTTAAGTAGAAAGTTTCAATTTGTTATGCTATGCAGGTAATGGACTCGGCTAAATCAAGAACATCAAGATTGATGTTCTGTAGTCAGTATTAATATGTGTAAAGATGTATTTATTCTTTAACCATAATCAAGTTGTGTGGTGGTTTAGTTGACTTTTAAATTCTTCTGTCATCCTTTTAGCCAGTTTACTTGAGAGACAGTCGGTTTCTTTACAAAATTGATTCAGTTGAGGCAGTGTGGGAATCCTAAAACTTTTAGATAACATTTTTATTTAAAATTAGATTTTAAAATAAGATTTTTTTTTAATGGGCATGATCTGTTTATAGGGCACTTATTTCCGACCTGAGTCCTTTTTTTCTGTTTTTGCGAGGCAGGAGAGTGAATTAAATGTTCTGATTCCCTTCCCTGTTCACTGTGCAGTTGTGAGTTGTAATGAAGTTTTATTATTTGGATAGAAGAGCTCAAAAATCTCCTAAGATACATATGCAGGTTGTAAATATCATATCAGTATAGTGCCAAAATGGAGACTGTAACTGAGGTCAGGAATAGGATTTTTCTCGCCCCCGTTTCAGATTCGCCATGGCCCAGCTCACACAACTTGTAGGTGATGCACCTTAACTCACTCATAGCGTGCTGAATGACAGTAGTGATGAAGGTCTTGCTTTTTACAGTCAAGAGAAGGAAAAACAGTAAGATTGCTCTCTGAAAATTGTATCAATATGTTCTTCATTTTCCTGGTTTTGCAGGTTTCCAAGCAACAATCAGTGCTCCACATATGGTAAGCTTTAAATTTACATGATTACTGAAGGTGGCTCTATAAAAATCCAAATGCTTCTAAAATAAAATATTTTTCCTAACAAATTCATCAACTGTTGTTTAATACTGGTGCTTATGTGAACCACCAAAAGGGAGGAATTACAGAAGACTGAGCCAGAGTTTTCTTGGAGGCTAACAGTGATAGGATTGAGGGATAATGTTCAAAAACTAAACAAGGGAAATTCCAAATTGATGTTAGGAAGAAAGTTTTTCACAGTGACAGTGGTCAAGTGCTGAAACAAGTTTATCAAAAAGGCTGTAGAATCCCTATTCTACAGAGACACTGTGGTCCACTGGACAAGGACCTGAGTAGCCTATTTTAAGTTGGCCCTGTTTTGAAAAAGGGTTGGATCATCTGATTTCCACATGTTCTTCCAATATAAATTACCCTGACTCTATAAGTTACAGAATCACAGAGTGGTTGGGGTTGGAAGGAACCTCTGGAGATCATGTGGTTAAAACTCCCTGCTCAAGCAGGGACACCTGAAGCACATAGTATGGGATTGCATCCAAATGAGATTTGAGTATCTCCAGTGAAGGAGACTCTGGAACCTGTTTCAGTGCTCTGTCACCCTCACAGTAAAGAAGTTTTTCCTCACATTCAGGCAGAACTTCCTGATTTTCAGTTTGTGCCCATTGCCCCTTACCCTGTTGCTGGACGCCACTGAAAAGAGGCTGGTCCCATCCTTTTGACACCCTCCCTGAAGATATTTGTATATGTCGATAAGATCTCCTCTCACTGTTGTCTTGTCCTGCTCAAAAGCCTGGGTTCTCTCAGCCTTCCTTCATAGGAGAGAAGCTCCAGTCATCTAATCTCTTTCGTAGCCCTGTGCTGGACTCTCTGTGGTAGCTCTCTGTCCCTCTTGTACTGGGGAGCCCAGAACTGCACACAATACTCCAGGTGTGGCCTCACCAGAGCTGAGTAGAGGGGCAGGATCACCTTCCTTGCCCTGCTGGCAACGCTCCTCCTCGCGCAGGCCAGGATCCCATTGGCCACCTTGGCCACCAGGGCACATTGCAGATTCATGGTTAACTTGTCCACTAGGACTCCCAGGTTCTTCTCTGCAGAGCTGTTCTCCCTGAGGTCAGCCCCAGCCAGTGCTGCTGCCTGGGGTTATTCTCCCCAGGTGCAGGACCCTGCATTTGCTTTTGCTGAACTTTGTGAGGTTCCTCTCTGCCCAGCTCTCCAACCTGTCGCAGTCTGAAGAGCAGCACAGCCTGCAAGGGGTTATCAGCCACTTCTCCCAGCTTTGTAGCAAAGTTGCAAAAAGATAGGAGTTAAGGAGTGAAGAACAGTAATTTCTGTAGTGCTTTATTGATGTGATGTCCTTAATTTTTCAGACAGGAAAAATAAATTACATCACACTGAGATACATGGTTCTTGCCAAGTGATTTGAGATCAGGGCATTCATGGCTGAGCCTTAATTAAAGCCTTAAGAGGAGTTTTCAGTTCCTATATAAATATGTATGTAGCCCAGACATACATTTTCTTAAGATTCTTTATTTGTTACGAAGAATGAATAGAACCATATATTTTGTCCATGCAGTGTTTCAAAAGCAAGAAACCCATAGAGTAAGGAATGGTTTAAATTGTTGGTAAAAGCATGCTCCTTTTGACTTTTTATTAGAGTTTGGATATGCTATGTATTTATAGCAAAAACATTTTTTTTAATATAAAAATATTAGTTGTTGCATGGAAGGATACAAAGAGACATACTGCAACTGCCGTTAAGGAAAAGCATAAACTATGTCTTCAAAGCTTTAAGCTAGATCTAAGCTAAGTCATTATGTTTTGAATTATTTGACGCTTATCGTTGGTATTATATAAAGCACTGAAACAAAAAAGTATCCTTTATAGCAAATGCTTTTAATATTTTAATTATTTCTGTATCTGACTCTGATGGGTTAAATATTAAGGGTTTGAGAATCTGAAAAACATTAAATAACAAAAATTGTTTTAGTGTGCAACAAAAACTTAGTTTTTGTATTGGTCTACAATATAGACTAATTTATTTCTTCTATAGAAGAAAGCAAAAGAGCCTACAGAGTGTGTCTGTAGACTGCTATACTCTCATATATGAATCCTGTGGACTATTTGCCTTTGTAGAAGATTTTTTTTTTCCTCCTTACTCTCTGATTCAGCAAATGTAGGGGTAATGCAAGAAGTTAACCTACAATATTCCCTTTCTCTGGCCCTCCAAACTTGCTTCCATTATAGCTAGCATCTGGGCCAGCATGTTCCAATGCATATGGACCCTATTCCAACCCTATTTCCATGGATTAATTATTGTGTATGTATATGAATAATTTATCTTTGAAGGGAGAAAATCACTTTTTTTTTTTTCTTCTTATTACTGCATTGTGGGAAGGTATAATGACATGCTAAATTATTTACAGACCCTATACCACCAGAATAGTGAGAACTACCAGACTTGAAAACTATTGAATTGTTTTATGGTATCTGCCCTAGTAATCATATTTAAGCTCAGTGTGTATTGGAAACTCAAGTAGTTAGAATATATGGTTGGAGTGGGTGAAATAACAAGAAGTGTATGTTATATAGTTAACGCATATTATAGTTACACAAGTTACACATATTATAAGTATATGGTATATAGTTTGTGTGTGTGTGTGCGTGGTCAGAAATAATTCTGAAATTTCTTACACTAGCCCTCTGCAGTGTATTGCCCCAAAGCATTGAAGAAATGAACATGTGTCAGGTAAAGCAAACTCGAAACATTACAAAGTTTTCTTTCTCTCTCTTTCTTTCCTCCTGCCTTTTTCTCTCTCTGTGTCTCTCTCAGCATGCATATGCTCTTGAACTTCTGTCTGATCAGTTACATGAAGGAGCCAAAGCACTTGATGTAGGATCTGGAAGTGGAATCCTTACGGCATGCTTTTCACGAATGGTGAGAAATCTAGTGTCATCCCTCAACCAGCACTACTGTTTGAATTGCAGTGTAACTCTGAGAGACAAAATAAAAAAGGGGCTTTTTACAGTGGACAAAAGTAGATTTCATAGAGAATAAAACATTCTTCTGGATGCAAGCAGTATCTGTTTCTTACCTTAGGTGATACTAGATGCTTAAATAAAAGAGTCCATTAAATTCTGTGGCGGTCAAGAAACTGCCTAGGTGAGAAGCTTTTCCTTGATGGTATTTTTAATGACTGCTTTATAGTTTGAAAGAAGGTGATGTTTGTCCTGGGAGGTGTTTGTCCTGTCAAAGCCCAGTTTTTGCCTTATTTTGTGTGGCTGTGAATGTTCTCATGATGATCAATTGTCTTGTCTTTCTGCTGCGGTGAGAGCTCAGCAAGGTTTAAGAGAATCCTATTTCCATGGATTAATTATGTATTGTGTGTATATAAATAATTTATCTTTGTACAGAAAAAATCACTTTTTTTTTCTTGTTACTGCAGTGTGGGAAGGTCAATGCAATACAAATCTAACTTTTTCTAAGTTAGATATTAATTTATATTCTCTTTGTGTCTTTCCTGGTGCTTCTACCCTATCTTACAGCAAGAGGCAAAATATGAAAGAGATCATTTTATGATGGTTGCAACCACAGTACTGTCAGACTGATTTACATGGTGCTTGCATATAACCAACCAGTTTTCCCTTCTCTGTTTCAGAATTTTATCTTTTCTTTATAGCTACCAATGACCTTCATTAAACTGCCAGCTTAATAGTTTTTTATTGTCTCAGAAAATTTAAAATGTGGTGATGAGTTATAAATTCTCCTATGATATCTTTTTATTATTTAAATTTTATTATTTTCTGGCACTTATCTGTTGAGTCTGAGATCATTTTTGGCTTAAGAATTAGGTAAGCGTTTTTAGGACAGGATGATGTATGTTATTGTTGCAAAATAAAAAAAAATTGCAAGTGCAATGAGTTAAACTGCAACTTAGTGGAAATGCGAAATGACTTTTTTTGAATATTATACCTATTATTTTTGTTCTAACCTTGGAATTAGTTATAAAGTGCTAGTAGTATGCATTGTAACTCCCATTCTTCAAAAGCTAAAACCTTTTCCAAAATTATGTTTATTTTCTCATTAAAAATAAATACATCCAGGAATAACCATTTTAGATAGGTTATGTGATCTGTCTAGTTGTGTCCTTTTTTTCTTTTTGAACAGCTATTTTTAAAAAGCTGAAAAAATTCTGCAGAGAAGTCAGAATGTTGACAGAAAGGAAACCTCCCTTCAATTTGGCTGAGGTTAAGCAGGCTTTTTATCACCGTGTGAATGATCCTCTTAAATCCGGCTGCGTTTTTCTTCCTGGCAGTATCTTGGGCACTGCTTTACACACATGGGCTTTATGGAAAGTGTTGGATAAATGCTTTTGCTCTGGTTGACAACGTTATTACTTTGTAATATGGACCTGGTCTCATCCAGTTGAATGCTTGTAGACAAGTCGCTATCTGTTGCTCTGTCAGTTCTCTTCCTCTGGGAAGTTGTTTCTAACATTGCCATAACTCATATAACATACGACTTTCAAGCTTTTGTTAAAGGCTTTTGCTACCAAAATTCAATCGTCTTGGAGGTCTTAGGGAAGTTGAATAATGTGAATGTTGCTTCTCAGACTGCTGGAGATGTAAAATGAACAGCTAACATCTGGGTTACAAATACCGGAGTGCACATTGATGCCCTGGCTGTTTTGCTTCTTTGATCATCATCTGATCGATGGTTCTTCTGGGAGAGTCTTAACGTCTACTCAGACTAGTGAAGCATGTTCAAGATTTGTTGTTGTTTTTAAAATGATATGGTAAACTTAAGTTTGTGTGCTTTGTAGAAAGTTGTACCATTTTGTTTTGGTCTTGATGGCACATGCTTTGAAGTTCTAGGGCAATAGGTGGAGATGGTCTAGATCAAGGATTCAGAAATAGCACAATGGACTGTGCTGCTAAAAATGTTACTGGAATTGTTAGGAGTTCTGCTACTTTAAACCAGGACAGTTCATACTGTGCCCATTTTGCTGAATTTTCAACTCTGTGAAGTTCCCCTTTGCTGAAGGCTGGGGCTCACCTGATATTTTGCCAAGTTCTGATGAAGCCAGCTGCCAGGCATCCCTCCAGATAGTAACCTCTGGTTGTCATAGGAAAGACTTGCCATCTGTCTCATGTTCTGTTCCAAAAGCCAGGCCTGCCTTGTTTCACTTGATAACAAACAACCAATACTGCTGTTTTGATGTTTTGAACATAGATTTTGTCCGTAATGAATCCGGAAAAAAATCCCCATGATACTGGTAACCAGCTATTAGTTTTACATGCTTTTGCAGGGTTAGAATGTAAGATACAGAAGCATAACCAATAAATTCAATAGTGGCTGTTTAACTACAGGATTGTATGAAAGCCTTGACTGCTAAGAGACAATCTGGCGCTAGATTCTTTGAATTGGATCTTGTTAAAGACAGTCAGATTTGGGGGATTTTTTTTTTTTCCTAACCTCTTTCCAAAACTGGAGTGGCTTCTCTAGAATAAAGAGACGATTCCAGAAGAAATGCCTCTAACAGAAATGTTTGGGTTTCAGTGTTTTTTTCAGTAAAGTATATGCACTTTGTGAGATCACTTCCCCAACTCTTCTTATCCCCTTCCCTCAATAGCTTGTGACCATTGTTAGTTTTGAGCTCTCAAAAGTTCTACTCTTCCTATGGAAGAGAATTGTAAATCTGAAAGTAGATTCATGAATGTAAGAGATGAAATTGCTTATTCCCTTGCTGTTAATTGGTGAACTTGCTTCTGAAAGGATAGGACCTTTGAGGTAATGTAGAACAAAATGCAGGACTTACTATTGTCTTTAAAGTAAGGTCAACTCTAGAAAAATCTTTATCTTTAAGTAAGTTTACTCAGCGTGAAAGGAGATTAGTTCTAATTTTTGTCCTTGAAGGTTTTTCTTCCTATTGCAAGCAATACAACTATGCATGGTAGAATTTACTTTCTGAAAACTGAGAATGGAAATCTCTTCTAATGGTGTGACTTAACTGAATCACTTCATAAAATATGGCTATAGCAAGCATTTATGAAACTGTATGGTGTACTTTAAATATATGTTGCTTCTGGCAATCAGAATATCTGATTCTAACTGTCACTTTAATGACATTGGGAAAACACTGAATCACTTAACAGTTTTGTTTTTATTTGAGACTTGTGGGTTCAGGAGATGAAAATACTGATTCTATAAATGAACTAAAACTAGCAGAAATTATTCAGTTGTATATTTTTATTCCAGGTTGGTCCCAAAGGACAAGTTGTAGGAATTGACCATATCAAAGAACTAGTGGATGACTCAATAAATAATGTCAAAAAAGATGATCCTACATTGCTGTCTTCAGGAAGAGTGAAACTGATCGGTGAGCATCAGACTCTGATATACTCTGATAAACTAGTTAAACTAATATTCTTTCTAGCAACTGGCTGAAAATGTCTGGAATTTAGATGTGATTAGAAGATCTAATTTTAGAAGAGCAATCAAACAAAGAAGAACCGTCTGAAAACCTAAATATCCAAGCCCTCTTTATGCCTGTGAAAAATGTCATCTGTGCACACTTTCAAGTATATGGTTTCCATTGGTTTTAAATAATATGTGATCTTTCTATTATGGATGCTAATTTAACATGGAAATGTATTTCTGTATCATGCTTTTCATGTAGAAGGTCTGCCAGTGTTATTTGCTGTTTAAACCTGGGCTTGGACCTCCAATTTTCCTTGAATTCATGTTGTATCTTTTAAACTCAAGCATTCTAATGAAGTCTTTTTGCTTCTAATGAAGTAATTGAAAAAGGTGCATGCAAAAAATCAAAAGTGAGAAAAAAGTACTAGATTGGCAGAATGCATTGCTGAAATTAATCTCATTTGTTTTTAAAATGAACATATTTTTATTTTAGAGAAGTAGTTAATTGATATCAAACAAATTTAAATCAAAGTTTTTGAAAGGGAATTATGCTAAAATTATATAAGAACAGTGAACTGTTCTAAATCATACCTATTTAAAAGAAAAATCTTGTATTTTCTTGGAAGATGGAAAGCTGGCAGGATGAAAGCATTAGCATGATTATTATTCTGTTAGGTGTTTAAAGGAACTTGGAGGACTATGGATTCTCTGGAGACTGTTCTTCCAAAAATGTTGGGAAAGAATATTATGGTTTGTGCTGCTTGATATTTATCCAAATTCTTCCCATTTTTGTCCTTGTTTTTTTTTTAATAAATAAAGGACTCTGTAAATTGTTTTGAAATACAGAAATCAGCACTATATGCTTGAGCATGTATATGGAATGTTTTCCCAGTGATGGATTCTGTATGGCTTAAAGTTTCTTGAAAAAGAAATCCCTCTAGGACTGCTAGGGGGAGCAGGGAGTCTAGTTTCTGTTGGTGCTGTTTGCAAGAACAGTTTGGACACTTTCTTCTAAATGCATATAAATCAAGCTCCGTCGCTTTGGGGAATCTAGAACTCTTCTGAGTGCCTTCCAGCATCTCTACTATGTTTGACTGTGTAGCAGAATGGCTGTGTACAGAGGGTCTTCTTGTGAGATGCATAAAGAAAATGGAGGTGGAAAAGCAGCAGGTTTGTGAGCTGGATGGAGAAGCAGAATACTTCAGTTATGTTGAATTCAAGGGAGTCTTTTCGTGTGGAGCTAGAATCCAGTAAAAACTGTAAAACAAACAAAAGTTTCCAGCGAGCAGGGTTGGATTGTGCTGGAAATTGTGTGAGTTAAGACTAGATAAGTTAGTAAATGTTCCCTATTGTTTTGTTGCACCTCAGATATACCATAAATGCATGCTGGAAATTTTGTGAGTTAAGACTAGATAAGTTAGTCACTGTTTCATGACAGGTATGTTTGAAATGTTCCCTATTGTTCTGTTGCACCTCAGATATACCATAAATGCCTTTCAGAGCAGAGGAAGGAGCCTGTGAGGTGGATCTTTCAACTGTTTCCATGTAGCATGCTTTGGCTCTCATCATAGAGTGGTTTTGGAGACCGCAAGTTTGGTTCCTGTTGGGTGAAGGTGCACTGTGCAGTGTGCTCTGGGAAGACATTAAATGGGTTTGAGATGTTACAGCTAGTCCAGAGCAAACATGCTGAAATGCCTGTGTTACATAAGCAGCAGGTTGTCAGCACCTACTGCTTTGTCCTACAGATCTGCTCCTGTTGTGCTGCTCTGTTCGCTAATGCAGACGTAGCCAGAAGTGACGGGGGTCCTATAACCACAACAAATAATTGCAGTTTCCCTTGTTTGGTGCCAGAGCTACCTATGTGAAACAGTTTAGCACAGAGCTGCTGAAAACTCTAGCACATTATCAGCAGATCAGCTCTAGGTTTAAAACCAAGCAACAAAACCCTCTTATTTGAGGAAGTCCTGGGGAAAGATTTTTTTTCTTGTTTTTGTTTTTTTTTTTTTCTCTTGCTTTTGACCTCCTGTTTCCCATTGGACATTGAATAATGGAATAACTCTTGTGCTATATTGAATGCATACTGAAAAAATAAATTATTCTCTGGTCATCTAAAAGTATGTGTCTGATATGAGTGGATATATATTTGATTGTTTGAGTCAGGAGAACATATTTGTGGGTATTGAAAGGGAGGAAGCATGCTGTCCTTGAGAACATGAATACAGCATGATGAAGGACCTTGATTATTTCGTGCCGTTTCCGAAAACAATAGCTCTGGTTTGGACCACTGACTCTGCGTGGGTCTTTAGGGTCCTTTCTGGCAGCACCAGTGATAACATGTGCAGAAGGCATCTTCCCAGACTTCTCTGGGCAGGGCCCAAGGTGCATCTGAATCTCAGAATATGTGCCTTGTTCTTCAGAAGATGCATGATCTGTGGCCATCTGTCCTCTTGCAGTGTTGTAGTTCTTGGCAGCTTCTACCCGTGACCCATAGTTGGAATCTGTTGGTTAGAATTGATTGTGTGAGGAAATACGTCAATCAGCCTTACAGGATTCTTTTGTGACTAGGAAAACATACTCACTTTTTATAGTCATTAAGTTTTGGGTGTAGAAGGTCTTTGCAGGTCTTTGACAGATAGTAAAATCACTGCATTTAATCCTTTCAAGGAGCTGTCTAATTTTCCTGTAGGCTCTTGGGTTCTTTTTGGTGCGTCATTACCATCAAGGTGGCCTTCCATATCACTGAGGTCAAAACAAAATCTGCCATGCTCACTATATTTTCCCTGCTTTGTGAGTTGTTGAAAGGCAAAAAGTTGACAGTGTTCAGCTTCCACCAGGGACTCTGAACTTGTTTTAATTCACCTAGCATTTTCCTTAATCTGTGGTAATAGTGGTATCTTTTGAAAAGTGTAACCTCAGCCCAAAGGAGGGAAACCCCAAGCAACTATTTGTGCTGCACAAAGCAAAGCTCCATTTGCAGCCGTCGCCTTCCGAATAACTCGGGTGCTCCTGAGCTGGGGCTAGCAGCTCCCTGGAGCTGCTGCCACAGGCCCGACCTGGCCCTCAGCGCTAGCTCAGCAGCTCGCGGTCTGTCCCAGCCACGGCGGAGCCCTTCTCCAAGCAGAGGGGCTTGTGTGGGCTGAGTGTGAGCTGTGCAATACCCTCATCTGCCTGTGGCTTCCAGCCTGGAGAGATGATCTGCCACCAGTGTAGCTACAGGGGTATAGTCCGTGTGGAGACTTCGTCCTTTCCTCACCTTCCGAGTCTTCCAGTACGTGCCCCTGAGATTTAGCGCTTTAGCCTGATGATTTGTGTTGTGTTTAGGAATGGTGTGAGTTGTGCTGGTGTTATATTTAGCAATGGTTTTGCAAGGGAAAGCTTAATTTTCAAATCGGTAATGAGAGGAAATCACCTGCATTGGAATGGTTGGACCCTGATGTGCTCAGGTCCTTTCTGGATGGGCCACATGTCATCAGGAACTTTCATTGTACATTCTGCTTTCCAGATTCAGGTGTTTCACTAGTATTTTTATCTATTTTATAACTGTGTTTGTGTGTATATGTATGAAAGTTTTTTGTGTTAAAATTATTTTATAAATGTACTTTTTTAAAACTGATTTTGTCAT